GGTGGAGGCTGCGGTGGCCGTGAGTGTGCCACGCTCTCCTGCCTGGGCGACAAGAGTGAGACTCCAACTCAAGAAAAGAAAGGGTCTCGCTGTGTTGCCCAGGCCGGTCTCCAACTCCTGGCCCTCTGCGCTCCCCACCGGGTTCGGAGCCCCTCCCCAGAGGAAGTGCCGGCCCCTGCTGGACCCGGCACCCGCTCGGACGGCCCGGCCCCTTTTCAGGGCTCTGGTCCCCCACAGCCTGGGCGTCCCCTCCGCTGTGTGCGGCGGGCTCCCAGCCTCACAGAGCTCACGGGCCCTCGTGTGTCCCCAGGACCAGCTCCAGCAGAAGATCATGTGTCCCGGCCCCGTCACCTGTCTGACCGTGTCCCCCAACGGCCTCTACGTCCTGGCGGGAATCGCCGAGAGCATATACCTGTGGGAGGTAGGAGCTGGGTCTCAGCCGCACCTGTCCACCACCGGGTCGGGCCGGGCCCAGGGTGCTGGGCGGGGTCTCAGGGGCCACCGCTAAGCCCTGCTGGCCGCCTCCTTCCCCGGGTCCCTTGTCTCCGGGGGCCCTCATTCCCCCGTGTTGGGCGGGGCGCCATCTGGCCCATCCCTGGGCACAGGGGGCTGACCCGGGCTGGTGGGCGCCTCTTCCCAGCGGGCGGCCCCTGACGGTCGCAGCCTCAGAGCTGTCAAGACAAAGCCTGCTCTGGGAGGGTACAGCCCCCAGCACTGGAGAGGCCCGGCGGCCGCAACCCCGAGCGCGTGCACTGTGCCTCCTGCCTGCACCCTGCGCTGTGCGGCACCAGACGGTTTCCACGAGGCCGCGGAGCGAAGGAACGCTTCCGGCTTTGCACCAGCCGTCTCCTTGGGGCGGAGGAGACAGCTCTGGGACGTGGGCACGGGCAGGAAACCAGTGCTCATAGCGGGCTTCAGGGCGCCGCCGCGGCGTGAGATCACGGGCTGCTGTCACACACTGTCCACGGTGTTCTGGGGAGGCCCGTCCCCACTCCACGTGGACCCCAGCACATGGCTGGCACAAGGGGCCTAGGCGGACACGAGCGTCCCTGGGCGATCCCAGGGCCCAGGGGCGTGGGGCCATCGCCGTCTCATCCTGGGCTTTTAGGTACTTACGTGCCACTTACTTAAGAGACGGGGTCTTGCTCTGTTGCCCTGGCCGGCCTCAAGCCGCCCTCCTGAGCAACTGGGTTTGCAGGCGTGCCCCTCCACACCCAGCACCCCAAGGCTTTTAAGCCTCAGGCCGTGGCTTTGAAACGGGAATGCGGTTGGAAACTGCAGAGAGGGAAACTGAGGCAGGGAGAGGTACCTCGCGGCAGAAATCCTGGCCCTGGCCACACCAGCCTGGCGCGGGCGTGAGGAGGAGGAGAAGTGGCTGTCCCCCGTGGGAGACGTCCTGTGGCCCTCCCGTTCTTGCGGAGGGAGAGTCGGCTGACCAGGGCGGGCCAGGGCTGCTGCCTGGCCAGGCTCCCCTGCCTTCTCGGCGTCTGGCCACGTGGTCAGGCTGGCGCTGTCCCCTTTCCCCGTGTGGGTGACAAGCTGGGACCCTCAACAGGGGCTGTGGGGTGGGGGCGGGTCTGTCCCCAAACACGATGGATGCCGCCGGGGACGGGACCTCCGGGAGGCGCTGAAGGGCCGTGTCCGTCCCGGCCCCAGGCCTCGCTGGCGGTGGCTTCGCGGCTGCCTTCCTCATGGGCCGAGGTGGCCTGGATCTCGTCTGGGCAGGGGCCGCTCGGTCTCCGGGTCAGCCCCGAGTTGCCGGGGAGGGGGGCCGAGGCCAGGGCTGGGCGTGGGTGTCAGGCCCAGGGCTCAGAGGGTGCCCGAAACTCCCGGAGCTGCCGCTGAGCCTCACAGGCAGGCCCCACGGGCAGCCAAACGGCCCCAGACTGAGGCTGCCCCGGCCTCCGCCTGCTCCTGGGGAGGCTGGCATCCTTGGCCCCCGGCCTGCTGATGAGTCCCTGGGGTCCTGGCCCCGGGCCGCCGCCGCTCGGTGCGTGTCCATGTCCCCACACCCCTCGCCTCACGAGGACGCAGCCACGTGACACTTGCGCTCCGGCCACGGCCCGACCTCACCTGCGCCTGTCGC